ACTCTTTTAGGTAAATATATTTCTTAAATCTGCGTTTAAATTCTATTTTTCACTATGCTTAAATTTTAGTTATAAATTATAATCTTAATATTTGTTATATGGCATGGAAAATCATCAATTCTACAATTTATGTTTTATAATGTATAGTCTCACATGATAACAGTAATTTTTCAAAGTTATAAAGAATTGATCATAGAGCTTCGTAGTTCTCAAAATGGCACAAATCTTAAAGTCTTAAAGGGTGTTTGGTCAAGCTTATTTAGTAAGGTCCCGTTTTAATACATTATAAGTTGGTTAAAAAGTTTTTCAAAAACAACTATACCATTACTCTTCATTGCTCCCAAACATTTTTTTTCAAAAACTCCATTTTAATACATTATAAGTTAGTTAAAAAGTTTCTTTTTCAAAAACTTCATTTTAATACATTATAAGTTAGTTAAAAAGCTTCTCATTTTAAATAAGCACTCCCAAACACCCTCTTAATCATTATGTTTGTCAAAGCTTACACCCTCTTAATCATTATGTTTGTCAAAGCTTGATGTTGATATCAATCGAATTTGTTGTAAAAACATTATATGACAGTGAACAAACTTTTAAGTTTGGTTTTAAGAGGTTATTATCCTTTTTATTATGTTTGTCAAAGCTTGATGTCGGTGATATCAATCGAATTTGTTGTAAAAGCATTATATAACAGTGCACAAACTTTTAAATTTGGTTTTAAGAGGTTATTATCTTTTTTTAGTGTTATGGAAAATTAAACTTTCTAATAAATTTGGTTTTAAGGAGGGATTGTCACCCATTTCACTAGGCTATCCGTTTACAAATCACACATGACATGTTAATTGGCAACTGTGACTCCACTTGTTAAATGAAATACTTGTTAAATGAAGTCTGTATGACAGACAAAATCGATTTTCTTCTCATTTACGAGTGCTCCTCATTTACACATATTGATTTGCCTCTATGGTTCTATCTGAATAAAAACGATTCACCTACCTTTTTTGAAATAGATTCGCTTACTATTTTGTTCAAAGGAAAAAAAACAATTATCTTAATGGCAAATGATCAAGGGCATCCTCAGTATTTGAAATTTACACTTTGATGAGTATTTTATTCGATGTTCATTCAAATATGCTTAAGGCAGTAAATTCATATTTACCGACCACGATGTTGCTGGTATGAATTATATTGATTGTTACTAGCGTTGTTTAAAAATGTACTATTGTCTCCCTAATAAACCCTTTCATTTTAGTATTCAAAAAATAAAATGTGATGTAGACGATGTTGAGTTCATAGATATTTCATATAGTATGGGAGGAGGTAAAGCTTCACTATCTGGTGACCAATTTGATGATGATTTAGAGGGTTGATTAGAATCTAGTGAAGATGAAGTAGTTAGTCCTGATGAGGTGGAATCGGGTATTCATGGTCCAATAGAAGAGGACATAAACATAGACAATTTATCATTTGACTTGGATGAAGGAAATTATGAAATAAACAAAACTAGGAATGATGCTTTTTTGAGTAAGTTATGCATGGATGAGGAAGCCGAAGTAGAAAAAAATACACATAATGTTGAAGAAGTGGTTGATGAAATTTGCATTGATGAGGAAGGTGAGAATAACCTTCTATGTGATGTACATTACATATTTAATAAGGAAATGTCATGGGAAAACATAAACCAATTTTAGGAATAATATTAGGGAATCCAAAGCAATTAATGCACATGCTATGTAACTATGAAGTTGCTAGTGGATATCAACTTGTCTTCAAGAAAAATGATAGCAAAAGACTCTTAATATTATTTTATGATGGATTGTACATTCAGACTTTGGGTATCAATGCATCATGGATGTATGATGAACAATCTTTCCAAATTTAAACATTGATTCCTTATCATAATTGTGCTAGGAATTTGAAATTGAGGTCAACTGTAACTTATGTCTGGATTGGAAGTCATTTCATAAAGCAGGTTATGTATAGGCATCAACTAAGTCATAGACAACTAAGAATTGAGGTTATGAAAAAGTTTAGAATAGAAGTTAGTGTTAAGCAATGTAAGAAGGCAAAGAAATATGTTTTGAATGTAATTGAGGGTGATATTGTGGAACACTATACTAGACTATGGTCCTGTGCTGAGGAAATAAGAAGATCAAATCTTGGCTCCACTATGATAATGGATGTTAACCTAATGTAAGATGGTACAAATTACTTCAATAAATTCTATGTATGTTTTGATGGTCTGAAAATGGATTGGATGGATGGTTGTAAAATAGTAATAGGGAAAGATGGATGCTTTCTCAAAGGAATTTGCAAAGGGGAATTACTTATTGAGGTATGAATGAAGGCCAATAAACATATATTTCATATTATATGGTGTGTTGTCTCCGTAGAAAACAAAGAGAACTTGAAATTATTTTTGGATGTATCAATTGATGATCTTGATTTGGCATTAGACAAGGATTGACACTAATGTCTGATTAACACAATGTACTACATTATTTGTCATGTTTTTAATCTTGTATAATTGTTATTAACTCTATGTTTGTATTTCATGGACTAATGGAGGATGTTAAGGATTTACTGCCTAATTCTGAACATGGGCGATATGCAAGACACATCTTTTCCAATTTTAGGAAAATATTTACCATTGTCCACTTTAAAAACATGTTTTAAGCAGCAAATAAAGCAACAACATAAGCCGCATTTAAAGCACAAATGAAAGAAATTCAGTTCTTGAACCCATTTACACACACACACACACACACACACACACACACACACATATATATATATATATATATATATATATATATATATATATATAATGGATAAGGACATTAACACCTAGTCAAGATCTCATGATGAAACAGGTATATGTTGTGACTCAGTAGAAAATGACATGTATAAAAGTTTCAATTCTATAACCATATATGCTAAGAAGAAGCCTATCATTACCATGTTCGAAGAAATAAGAATCTACATGATAGAAAGGATTTACCGGATGGGAGCAAAGGGAATAGCATGGGAAGACCAGGTTTGTCCTACCATAAGATTATTATTAAAATAATTGAAGATTCAACAAAGGTATTGTCAAGTTTACCCTAGTGGTCTTAATCAATTTTGAAGTAAGATGTGGTGCAAATGGTTTTGAAGTAGACCTTAAAAGGAAAACATGTTTTTGTAGACTATGGAAAATTAATGGATATGGTTGTGTTCATTCTATAGCTGTCATATGTTACCTTAACAGGAATGTGGAGTCATATATAGACCACATGTTCAATAACATTGTGTACAAGAAGGCATATAATTTTATAATAGCATACATGAATAGGAGTTCTATGTCGCATGAGACAACATACATCCTACCTTTACCACCCAAACATATAAGGATACTTGTTAGAACAACTGTTAATAGAAGAAGAAATGCATCACAAAGGGTTTCTCAAAGGCATATAGTGTCTAGAACTGGAAAGAGAATCATGTGTAGTATATGCAAGGAGTTTGGCACTTTGGGCATAACAAGGCTACGTGTAAGAAAGTAAACGAGGGCACATCTGGAAGAACCAAAATTAATGTTAGAAGGACTAAAATGGTAAATTACCAAATATAGCATTGAGTTTGTTCACATTTGGCCCCTTTTCTTTTTTTGTACCCAATATACCATCGAACTTATTGTTTATGTTCACCATAACACTTTTGACCGGATATCACATGTGATAGCCGGTTAAAAGGGTCATGGTGAATATAAACAACAAATTCGATGGTATATTAGGTACAAAAAAGGAAATTGACCAAATGTGAACAAACTCAAAAGATAGTTACCCTCCTGAGTCATTCTCCCTTTACTCATTTATAAAAAATCCCTCGTCATCTCCTACTCATATTAATAACTTTATGAGATTAATTCATTCTTCTCTTAAAAACATAACCCATAAAGAACATTACTCATACATGTACAACTTTGTAATGTATTTGCATATTTAAAGAGGAATCTTGATTGAGCTAGTGCATATTATGACTATATTTACATTTCCATTCAAATGATTTATCGTATCATGGATTCTAGATAGGTGTACAAATGAGTGGAATTACAAATGTTGTGATTTTTGGGTTTACGTGTATTTAAGATCAAATTCATAGGATAAAATACAACATCAATATGTACAGGATCATGCAGCTTTTGCAAACATAACACCATAATATACCATGAGCTAAACATATGTGCTAATAAAGATACCTCACATAACAATAATATCATTTTGTAGAGAGTTGTTGACAGATAACCACAGTATGCAGAGCATAGACTATGTTTTGACAAAGCTACCCTTTCGAAACGTTTTTCATATACGTTATGGCATAAGAAGGTTGCAGTCTTTAATGCTTTTGTAGCTTTAATTTCATTTAAGTTTTTAAGGGGAAATGTGAAGATATTATTGAGATGCAAATAGAAATGTGATACCAAGTGTGCCTTTGTCCCAGATAAAGTGTATATCAATCTTTATATGCTTGTTGTGTTGATATTGTACCGGATTCGATGACATGTATATGGAATTGGTTTTATTGCATTAGACACAAGTTGCATTCGTAGAGGAGCAACAGTGTTTCAAAGAAGGTGACAGATCCAACATGTTTCAGCTACAACATTTGCCACTCTACTATATTCCGCCATTAAGAAATAACGCCTTGAGATTTAGAGGACCAAGAGACGAGGTTATCCCCTTAACAAAATTGGATGAATTTTAAGTCATGTAATGTTTTAGTGTTTGGTTTGATTGACAACATAACATTAATCGTGGCTATTTCAGTTTAATTCGGACTACTGTTATATTGTTTTTTATGATTCATAAAATATATTTTTATAGTTTTTATTCCGCCTCCGTACTTTTAAAACCAACTACAGTAAGATGTTTTACGCATCCACTCTGTGTGAACACGCATCAAGAGAACATCTCAAACCATTTTTGTGATGATGAACAGTAGCACACCAAATTCAATGGATTACAATTCACCCAATAAATTGATGACATCATTAATATTAAATTGATGAATTAGTAAAATACAAAACAAATTTATATATGCATATATAAAAAGTGTAAACCTTAATTACAACAAACACTAGAAACCATACCGGCTACCTGTTCCATCTAAGAAACGATCTGTATGCCACCCTTTTGCTTTTAGTTGAGACACCAATTCAGGCATCATCACATTCATCTTTTCATACGCATCTTCCAACTTTTCAGCCTCCTGATTTGCATATGCCGCCACCAACCACCCTCTTAATGCATCTTCACCACTCGCGTTTTGCTCCAACACCATATCCGTCCACCTGTTTTCAAAACTCAAAACAAATTTCTCATCTGGAAAAATCTCTTTCACTTTTTTAAGTCTTGAAGGCTTCATAGCCTTATGTAAATCTCTCCCCACTTTCACATTTTCAGCTTCTTTTATCACTCTCCCTGGAAACACAAGATCCTCCTTGTACCTCAAGTCTGCAGGACTTGATACCTTTCCTGTCTGAATCATAACCATAATCATAAATATAAGATTTTTGGTGTGTAATTTGATTATTTGATTAATAATCAACCTTTATGAAATCTTCTATGATCATTGCAGTTCGTTGTGGATTCAATGTGTTGATGGGAGCAGCTAGCATTTCTTCATAGGTACTGTAAATGTGTATCAGAGAAAGGAAAGACCCAACAACCATCTACAAAAAAAAAAAGATTAAAGATTTAAATACCCAAAAGAGAATAACATTTTCAGTGTGTTTGCAAGATATAAAAGATTGTACCTTTCCTTGCATTGATGAACAAACAGTAGAAACTAACTGAATCCCTGCACCCAATCCAAGAACATTAAACACAGTAGAAATCGCCTCTCCTTTTGCGTATAAATCACTAAGATTTCCCTCTTTTGCAAATGAAGAATAAATTGGCAATCTTGTAGCCCTAGCAGCAACCATGGCCATTCCCTGTAAAATGACAAAAAAATGGTTTTATAATGTGAAGTCTTACAAGGAAAATGATTTAATCACCAGTTTAGTATTTAGTATTTACCTTTGCAAAATTCCCAAGTCCAGCCATTTCAAGAAACAGTTGTGGACATAATGGAGAAAGAACTTCCAAACCAGTGCCAAAGTCGTATAACATGTCAGCTACAAATCAAAAGGTCTCCATCAATCCATCTAAAACTGAATTTTAGTGAAAATTTAGAACAGAATAGAACAAATGTTTATTTATTGGAAGGGTTCAAACCAACAACTCGCCACCGTTTAGGCTCTGAATCCATTCTTGCACCTAAATTGCTGCATATTAGCTTTCCCACATGCTGCATACCATCCTTAAGTATCTGTTTGATACCAATTGAATCAATTAAATGTTTTCAGAAGCAGATTTGGTTCATTTACGTTAAATTGCTGCAAATTGGAATTTGTTAAAAGCTGTTTCTTACCCAACTGGCTGCGGTTGCTTGTGCTGGTGTAGGTCTTAATCCTGCAGCATATAACAGTGACTGCAAAGGAGTAGGATCAATCAATAAACCCTAATTTGAACTTGCGATGATTATAATTTCTAAGTATCAGAAGAAGACCTGAGTTGATAAGACGGATAATGCTGCACTTGAGAAGTGTTGTAATGCTCGAAATTGTGTGTATCTAAGATACCCTTCATTGACACTGCATTAGGTTTTAGTTTCATGAGAAATGACACTTTGAGTAACAGTTTACTGAGGGAGAGAACTCGTTATGATATGAAATTGTATCTTATGAACTCGCCTATATGGATAACCCGAAGGGAGAAAGGTATTGACAAGAGACTCGGAGATTTTGTGGATAACTGGTCTTGAATCATTCAGCACCTTCACCTAAAGAAGAAACACCCAACTGATTCAGTTATCGAATTCAAGAACAATCCTTCAAAACCGTGTGATATTTCTTTGGTGATAGATAATATTCTCGTTTTATTTCTGAACTTAATTGTATGAATTGCAGCACGCGATGAGAATTTAATAAAGAATTGGAGATTCCAAAATGAAGAAAACCCTAAATTTTTGGATTTATGAGTAGCATTTAGTCGAACACGTAAAGGGAGGAGATAATACTAACGGAGAGTTGGCCGTCGGGATGAAATTCAAAGTGGCGAGAGACGGTGTCTGAGGTCTCAGTCCAGGAGACAGAGACGGGGACTACTTCCGGCGATGGATTTCCCGCTTCTTTCTTCAGCAATCTTAACTTTTCCTGCCATCAAAATATGAACAACCGCCAAATTTACAAAAAGAATATTGCAACAGAGAGAAATTTTGAATAAAGCGCGGACATACCAGGAAATTCATGGCATTCAAGAAGATAGGATTTTTCTGCCACCGGCAGCCAGCTACCGGATTAGATTTCGCCGCCGGTGAACTCTGCCTTTTGTGCTTACGGAGTTGCGGTAGTGATTTCCGGTCGTTGTTTATATTCGATTCAACTCCACCCTAGAATTTCAAAACGTGCAACTTTGCCCCTTTGTTTACTAAATATTCACTTTGTGCGTTTTTTGTTAATATCCTCTAAATCGTGAAACGATAAATAATCTATGACAATTGACAAGAGGCAAAACGTAATAACGTATCACTTCATTGTTTAATAAAGTTTTTATTTTTTCTGGACAACATAATTCAAAAACATGGCAGTATTTAAGAGTGTGCAAATTGTACAAAAATCCACCAAACGAACCAAATTGATTTCCTTTTGAGAGAGAGAGAGATTAATGACTAATTTTGAAGTTTATTAATGGTAACTTTAATAAGGCAATGTTCATTAAGTTTTTATAAAATCTTAATATTATTTTTAGTATGAAACGATAATCAATTTTGAGGGTGCCAGGAATCGAGCCCTAGTCCACTGATTCTAAAGTCCATTGCCTTTCCATCTCATCCATATCTTTGCAACATGTTCATTTGCGAGGGAAGCATTTCGGATGATCCTTCAGTGGTGTGGACTACCGGAGACAGAGTTTCATTCAGTTTTGGATGTCATTAAGTATGCATCTACATAGAGCAATTGTCCAAATAAGAGGTGTAGTTTAACTGTGATCTTATTTGGAACCATATGGTGTTTAAGAAAAGCCCGGAATGATAGAATTTTTAAAAAGAGTGTCACGAAGTAGGAGAAGCTTGTGACTGATGTAAAGTCACTGATATATATGTGGGTTAAACATAAGGGAGATAATGATAGTTTAGATTGGAGAGTATGGAACTTTTACCCTTTATTTTGCTGATTTATTGTAAAATATTTTCTCTTCTAGCTACTTGCTAGTGGGGCTACTCTCTCTAATATATATCAATTTTGCCGATTCCAAAAAAAAAAAAAAACGAAACGATAATCTAATTTACTTTTCAAGGTTTTTTTTTTTATGTTTTATAAAATCTTATAACCTAGTTTATTCATCGATATTTTCTTTATTTTCATGTTTTATAAACCAAAAAAATTAGCTTACAAGCTAATTTTTAAAAGGTTGTTAAAATTAGCGTTTAAATTTGCTTATAAATTAATTTCAATTCTCTTATGTCATTTTACATATTCTTGCTAATTAATAAACAATATTTTTTTGAGATATTTACTAATTTAGTCTATTTTGCTAATTACTTTTCAAAAAAATACTCAAAAAAATCACATGTTGCAAGATAGTCATTAAACTCGTAGATGGTCATGTACGAGCTATTTCATTAATCTTGGCTAGGTTGACTATGAATTCGTACTTTGTTGGCTATGAAATCGATGAAATGGAAGAATGAACGAAATCGTCCATTGTTCTTCGAACTTGAGAGCTTGAGAGCTTTTTTTAAACTTGGAAATGTGAAAAATGAGGCTTTTCTAAAAAAAATAAAAATAAAAATAAAAATAAAAAAAAAGTATATATACTAGGCTAAGTAAAGTAGCTGGTGAACCAGTATCAATATGCGATGTACAAGTCATTAATGCACAAACTATGCATTAATGATTTGTACATCGCAAATGGATTTCCGATTTCATAGTTGGCCCCTAATTACCTGTGATTTTGCGTGGCTATTTTGTGTAATTTGTTAATTCTTGGTTATTTTTAGACAAGTAATTAGCAAATTTGGCTATACTTGTAAATTTATTTATTTTTTTATCATTTAGTAACTAGCTTTTCAACTATCATTCAAGTAGTCCGAAAAATAGTCTAAAGCTAATAAAAGCATACAACATTTTTTATAGTTTGGGAAAAGTTGGATAAAATGAAACAATTCTAAAGTCTCCTACATAAATAAAGTTTAATTTAAATTAAAAAGTAGATAAATATGCATATGGATATCAATGCACATCTGTAACTTGTCGCAAAAATCTTGAATCTCAACATCCCTTTTGGATTGTGAAGGTCACGAGAACCCAACTTGCTACATAGGAACTGAAATTGATCTTATCCAAAGGCTTTCATAAAAGTTCCGTTCGGTTAATGCTCATAACATATTATGACAAAATTATTAATCTATCCACTATTCACATTCTCATGAACGAAGTGACAAACCATTTCTACGTGTTTTGTGCATTATTATTAATCGGGTTAGCTACAATATGTCACGATGTCTAATTATCAAATGTTAAGGATGGTGATATCACTTATGTTGTGTCTAAGTCACACAATGGCTAATGTTGCCATAATACCTCACAAATATTATTATCATGGCTTAATGCTCAGCTTCTACATAAGTCCTTGATACCATGCTTTGTTTCTCTTTTTTTACATGAAATTGGAGAACCCCCAAGATTAATGAAATAGCTCGTACATGACCTCTGTATGGAATAACAACTCAACCAACTTGCTTCATAATAATTAAGCTACCAAATCTAAAATTCCCCTAGAATGTAGGATCAAACGTTGACCTGGAGTTATCTTTTAAATACCAAAGAACTAGAAAGTAGCATGCGTATGAGATTAACGAGGTGTGCTTAGGAATCGACCAATTTGATTAATGTTACATGTTATATCAAGTCGAATTATCATGAAGTAAAGTAATCGACCTACCAAGCACATATACCTTGATGCATCAACTTCATGACTTTCATTTTTTGTATGTTAGAAAAATTTATGCTTCATTGGAAATACACTAGATCAACATACATGACATTAGTATATGTTAACAAGAAACCCTAAATTGTTGGCCATGTGAACGAGGAGTCGTGAAACCCTAGTTAGTTTAGTCAATTCTTCCAAGGTTTTTAAAGCAGTAAATTAGAAAGAGGTATATCATTTAGAAGCAAGATAAAAAGATAAATATGACAACTGAAGGCGACCTTCAAATTTCATAAAGTGTATCCCATTTTTTTATGGCACTAAAACATGGCATACATTTTTGTATGTCGTAAATTTTATATAAAAATGAAACGGTTTTATGTAATCGTTCGTATTTAAAAAAATATGACATTTAATATGTCATAAAATATTGTGTTTAATAGTGATGTGTGCAAATCTATACATATAATTCTATATCATCTTAATATTGCTAATTATTTTTATGCCCTTTATAGAATAAAAGGTACTTAATTTATTATGCATTGTGTTCTAAGGGTAAAATACATGCTTAGAGCAAAAAGAAAGCTAGAAGCTGGAAGCTAGGAGTTTGAAAGAAGACTTTTAATTGACGAAAAAATACACTCTCCATGTCGTGGTGACCTTACCACGACGTGGCAATTTGGACTTTCCTAATATTAAGGAGACTTGCTGAATACGGGATAACAACGAAGATCATGACGTGGTGGCCTTACCACGTTGTGGCCAGTGGTGAGTGTAGCATAGACAACCACGTGGTTCACCAACTAAGGTCGGTTCATGAAAAAACCAGGTTTAACCGGACTTGTTCAACCATAAAAATAACCTATTTAGTATATATATATATATACACACACACACACACACACACGTTTTAATATTGTAAATTAACTATCTAGGCATGTATAAAAACATAATACATGTGTAACTAATTATTACTCCAATCTAATACTCATTAATCATATATATAAGTTTAAAGAAAACGTGATATGAAAATCGATTTAGAAGTAAAACAAAAAGTAAAAAAAACAAATTAGCAAATGGCACTACAAGAAACGGGGCCTATAGGGACGACAAATGTCGTCTCTATAGGTTAAAAAAGTCGTCCCAATAGGTGTCCGGGACGACATGTCGTCGCTATAGCTCTCTTCTCCATAGCCCCGTCGCAATAGATAGTTTTTGTCGTCGCTATAGATATTGTCGCAATAAGCTACCTTTAGAGACGATATGTTGTCCATGTTGGTGATGGGTTTTGGTCATAAGACATCCTATGTGCTCATACAAACCCTAATGCTTGGATCTAGGTTTCTCTATTGTACATGCTTTGAATCCAAGACTATAAACCCTAATTCTAGCATACAAGTAATCATATTAATATGTAATTAGGTTTAAGATCATACCTTGATTGTTATGTAGCAATAACAATCCCAATTCCTCCTTGAATTGACTTTGGAAGGCTTAGAGTCACAAGTGTCACTCCTCTAATGGTTCACAAACACCATAAGTAAGAGGATGAAGAGGAGAGAGGATGGAGGCTGCCAAAACCGTGTGTAAACCCTTACAAGAAGCTTAGCCACGTTTTTGAGCCTTAAGGGGTTTTTATATAGTTGGGCTATTAGGGTTATCTAACAAGGAAACCCTAATTTGGATGCTTAAGCCCTAAGCAACCCATAGACTCCTTTTATCAAGCCCATGGATGATTTCCTTATGGGTTTCCCATTAGAACTCGTCCATCCCTTAATATAAGGCAATCCATGGCCCAAATTATAATTATCTTATAATTACAATTCCAGTCCCTTAAGTTTAATTAATCTCTTTTAGTCACAAAACTAATTACCAATTAATTATTGACTAATATTAATTAAACAATATGATTTCTCCTTTAATATATTATTCTCATAATACATTAATAAATCATATTTAATCCTTAATCTCCATAATTCATCCTATCAAGTTGCTTTGGTGAAGGCAACCCAAAAGGACCATGCACCATCGGGTCAAGTACATACCAAAATAGTTATGGACTTAGACACTAATCCAACAGTTGGTTCGTCACTATATGTTTAAAGTCCCTATAGATAAGGTTATAGAGACGACATGGCGTCTCCATAAGTACAGCTATATAGACGACATGTTGCCTCCATACATAAATCTATTTCATATGTCATGCGACATTCTATAGCAGCAACAAATCGTCATAGTTGATGCACCTGTAGAGACAATGTGTCGTCTCTATAGATGCACCTATAGAAATGACATGTCGTCTCTATAGGTATGCCCACAAACTTTTGAAAAATTTCCAGTTTCTCACACCCTTTTTCCCATGTGCAGTTGAACAAGCACCATGATAACATAAAAGCAAACTTTTGAAGCACAACATAAAAACAACAATAACAACTATAAACTAGTGTTTTATTGATTAGGGAACTGTAACAAGGAAGAAAATAAAAACCATATAATCCACCAATAATTAGAAAGTAATTAACAAACTAATTAGACGTACAATCTTATCACCTGATGGTTGTTAAAAGCAACAAAATACAATACCATATGATTGAAGTCTTGCACAAATCACTTCTTGAATGCTTCATTGCCTTCACTATAACCAAAACAGTGAAATGACATATACACTTAAATAGACAAATACAATAACTTTGGAAACATAAAGTTCTTAATTCCCACATAAAGTTCTTGCAATCTGGAGAGTAATTAACATATTAATATATGACTGAAGGAATTATACACACATTAAAGTATAAAATTACACTTACAGATCGTAAAGATATTAGCTCATCTTTCCCCTGTTTCAACAAAAACCCCACAAAATTCAAGAATTCCAACTAGTTAAAAAGGAGATAGGGCCAATAATCATTTTCTTCTTACCTATATTTTGGTGGATAAGGAGAGAGGTTTGATACTAACAAGAAATATTATAAATGCTTCAAAAGGTAACCAAATTAGTATCAAAAGGATGAAAAAATGCTTAAACCATTAAGTTCAATCAACAAGTAAAACACTGCAGCTGTAAAAGTAACTAAATTTTATGCATGAGATTGATTGATTACCATTTTAGGGCCTTCATCATAATCATAACATAATGTTGCAGCTACAAGTGCATTCACGCTGTTATGAACAATAAGATTCCCCTAAAAAGTAAATATGTATACAAATGATCATAGGAAAAAAAACCATAAAATCTGACCTAATGAAGTTCATTATTAACTAACCTTTAAAGGAACCTTTGGTGGCTCAGAACAGGTAGAGCAGAATCCTAAAGTTTCATTATGATGTAATCAATGAACTAAAAAAAATAATGTATTTCTGTTTTTTACAAGATGAAAGGCATTAGAGAAATAAAGAAAGACATGCCTTGTACATGAAAAGTCTTTGCAAATATTGAATTTCTTCATCACCTCATTTGGAGATAAAGATGCAGTTGGAATTGTATCAAATCTCTTGGAGATTCTAGATAAAGCAATAGATACATGCACATAAATTGTAGAACCCTTCTTTATCACCTCATTATGTTTAATTTGTTTGTTAAATAAAACTAAAAGAAATTCATCACCATATTATGTTATGTAAGACTAAAATCTTAAATGGTATCTGATCTACCCTTTTCAAACTTTTTGTTTGTCCTTGTTTCCCTTCTTCATGACACTCCATTTTCACCTATAAACAACATTAAAGCCTACATGTTTTAAAAACATTGTAGCTTTTGTCATGTCACAAAAAATAAATGTACTCACAAGGCCCTTGCTGAAATGTGATTGGATGACAAAGGGTGTGACATCAGCAAAGTAATCCTTTATCCAACTAATGGCAGTGATATGAGAAGCATTCTTTCCAGGAAGAGGATGATGTGGCAATAGGGGCAATGATAAAAGATGACGTGCTTGTGGGGGAGATTTAGGAAGACACTCTGGAAAACTGCTCGTCAACCACATCATTGCACATACTACCTGAAATTAATAATTACAATTCAACATCTTTTTAGTTTTTACTAATTCCTTCCAGTTTGCATTATTTTTCCCAAGTTATAACTTTTCTATGTATCTAAGTCCCATGTAGTAAACTCACTTTTATAATCTTGAACATTAGGTTTCGAAAAGTTGTCATAGTTAGACTATTTTCATGCAATAACAAGAAACATTTATAGTAGTTGATCAAAATATAAAGGCAATGACCATTCACAAACACTTAGCTAGCTTCAAATAGCAAGATTGTGAACAGATCAATAGAAACATTACACATTTGTCTTTTTTTCCTAAAAACCTATAGTTAAGATCCCAATTTGGATTGTGCCTTGATTGAAAAATGCTTACAAGCATATAAAAAGTGCTGGGAGGAATATTAATTCTTATCTAGACTATGTTTGACGCATTCCATTAATTACATTTACATATACAATAATACTTTGGCAACTATAAATTACATGAATATATTCACAATCCGGTTCTTGAAGTGAACAATATTGAATTATTGATGAATAAGGCTTTCTCTAAATCACCTTTTGTCAGTAAAGTTAATAGACCACTTTAGCAGGTAGCTCTAAAATGGTAGCACATCCCAATTGAATAGCTAATTCCCTAATATCAAGTCGATCATGTACTTCATCACGAAATGATTGTTTAATGTTTGATCTGATACATTATACATATCAATTGAATAAAAAGCATGATGATGATATGCAAAGCAAAAGATATGAACATGCTTGACACCAATTCTGTTATACATCACATTGAAAGATCTAAAGTAAGGCTTCTCATACATCCTACTCAGCTTTATTGCGGTGTGACGATCGAATAGAAATTGATGAAAAAAATAGTAACAGGGGCAAACAACTTACGATTTCAGAATCCGACATTAGATGAATCAAATTGAAGATCAAAGACGTGACAGTGCTCAACGGCTTTACAGACGAATTGCTTCGATTCCTTAAGCCATAACTTCCTTGTAATATCCAACAAATCCATTTCAAGAAAGAGTGAGGGAGAAAGAGAAACAATTGGTATTTGAGTTCTATAATTGCTGTTGTGAATAGAGGAATATAAAAAGAAGAAAAAAATCTTTTTAGATATGTAGGGACGAGGTATCGTCTCTACAGCTTTTCACAAACCCGCCAAAGTTCCCGGGTAATCTATTGAGATGACAATTTGCCCTTATAAATTAACCGGTCAAAAAAAAAAATTGGTCAACCCTATAGAGATGACATGTCGTCCCTATAGGTCCGCTATAGCAACGACATTTGTCGTCCCTATAGGTTGCGTCCCTATAGCTGCTTATTCTTGTAGTATGGATATAAAATCCCGATGAAATTAAGGATGGTATATCCCTCCAATTCCCCCCAAAGTAGCAAAATCTAATAAGGCAATAAACAATAGATAAATTTATTTTAATCGTAATATAAATAATAAATATATAATAATTATAAAAAAAACCATATACATTTGATATTATTTTTATATTTTTGGGTCCATTCTCCCAAATGGACTCATAAAAAAGTACCAAAAGTTCATTCTTGAATATTGTGATTTTCTTTTTCAAATAGTCAAAAAGAAACTTAATTTTACTCATCTTGCTAATCTCATGGCTCTCTGTGTGTCATAACTCCGGCCGTTCCGTTACTCCAAAATCATTTCTTCTTTCTTTTCCTTCCTCTGTTTTTATAAAGTAGTTCCTTTCAAAATTTTAAGGTAGTTTCTAAATGTTTTGTTATATAATTTCTAGTGTTATTTATAAAATTAGGTGGGTCATGTGACCCACCTTAAACATATATAAACTCGCCCATGGTTGTGGTGATCTGTTTTTCAGGTATTTTTACCGATAATATGTGTCGTTGGTATAAGTGTCGTCGGCATATGGTTTTATTCTTATAGTGCCAACCATGAACACCCTTAGAAGATGCATTAAAAGTACCATGCACTTTGACTTTTAAAATAAAAATTGTAAGTTAAATTTGGGTTTCTTGAGAAAAAAATATGATGGGAATTTATTTAAGAGATCTTAGTAACATCCAAACACATGAGTTATGTTTTTCTTTCATGTTGATCAAAATTATGTCGTGTACATGGTAAGGTAGGGTTATATTGTTGTTAAAAGTATTAGGGTTATCAAAAAAATTGTATCGGGTTATTAAAAAAATTGTATCGAAACGCATTAAAAACTTGCTTGCTAGTACAAACTCGTTAGTTTTGCATGAATCTTTTAACTGTTCTCTTATTTTGAAAAGAATGCATATCTAACTCACATATTTATGGGTGTTATTTATGTTGGAGATAATTAAGGAAAGTTTCCTTATTTTATTATTTCGTTATGTTTACTTCCATTTGTGCATAAGGATTCTATTAATATACAGATTCTATTAGTGTTGGATTGAGATTCTATTTAGTTTAGTATAAATAGATGTAATTGTTGATGTTAATCACATTCCAGAACAAGTTTTTCCGGTTAAGAAAAAAGCCTTTGGCAACAACAATTTCTTGCAGCGAAAGAAAGACTAAACATCGAAACCTTCTTCAACAATGGCATAAAATGGCAATTTACAAGTTCTTAATGCACTTGACGGAGCAAAAACTCAATGTTACCATTTTACTACAATCATAATCGCCGGAATGGGGTTTTTCACGGATGCTTACGACCTTTTCTGCATCTCTTTGGTGACGAAGATGCTGGGCCGGATTTACTACCACACCCCAGGCTCTCCGAAGCCCGGAAGTTTACCTCCGAATGTGTCTGCTGCCGTGAACGGTGTTGCCCTAGTCGGAACCCTTGCTGGACAACTCTTTTTTGGATGGCTCGGCGATAAACTAGGAAGGAAGAAGGTCTATGGCATTACACTCATGCTCATGTGTGTCTGTTCGATAGCTTCGGGTTTGTCATTCGGTAGTGATCCCAAGATGGTAATGTCTACTCTTTGCTTCTTCCGGTTCTGGCTTGGATTCGGGATCGGTGGTGATTACCCACTGTCTGCCACCATCATGTCGGAGTATTCAAACAAGAAAACACGAGGAGGTTTTATCGCCGCCGTGTTTGCAATGCAAGGTTTTGGGATTTTAGGCGGCGGGGTGTTTGCTATTATTCTGTCTTCGATTTTTGATGCCAAGTTCAAAGCTCCGTCGTATGAGGTTGATCCGATTGGGTCCACCGTTCCGGAGGCCGATTACGTATGGCGGATTATTCTGATGGTCGGAGCCGTTCCAGCGATTTTGACTTATTACTGGAGAACGAAGATGCCGGAAACCGCCCGTTACACGGCCCTGGTAGCCAAAAACGCTAATCAAGCTGCCATGGATATGTCGAAAGTGTTGCAAATGGAGATTCAGTCAGAACAAGATAAGGTGGTGGAGGGATCCAACAACAGTTTTGGTCTTTTCAGCAAGGAATTCCTCCGGCGATACGGAAAGGCTTTGCTCGGAACAACAAGCACCTGGTTCTTACTTGACATTGCGTATTACAGTCAGAATTTATTCCAAAAGGACATATTCAGTGCCATCGGTTGGATCCCTGCAGCAAAGAAGATGAACGCCATTCACGAAGTTTACACAATTGCTAGAGCTCAAACATTAATTGCGTTATGCAGCACTGTACCTGGATACTGGTTCACGGTCTTTTTGATCGACAAGATGGGACGTTTCAAAATCCAGCTACTCGGATTCTCAATGATGACAATCTTCATGTTTGCGTTGGCATTCCCTTACAACCACTGGATTCAACCAGGAAACAACATCGGATTCGTGGTGATGTATTCGTTAACCTTCTTTTTCGCCAACTTCGGACCAAATGTCACCACATTTGTCGTCCCTGCGGAAATCTTTCCGGCGAGGCTGCGGTCAACTTGCCATGGGATCTCAGCTGCATCAGGGAAACTCGGTGCAATCGTGGGCGCTTTCGGGTTCTTATACCTGGCTCAGAATCAAGATCCGGCGAAGGCTGATGCAGGATATCCGGCGGGGATTGGAGTGAAGAACGCGCTGATAGTGTTGGGTGTGATCAATTTTTTGGGAACTTTATGCACGCTTTTGGTACCAGAATCAAAAGGGAAGTCACTCGAGGAAATGTCAGGGGAGAATGAAGAACAACAACCCAATGTTGGGGAAGTGTAAATCAGGCCTTAATCTTCTATTAGTAGGTTTTAGAATTGAAGGTTCATATATAGTCTTGCTTACTTCTATTTTGTTTTCTTACTTTAATTCCTTTTCGTATTTTGCTTTTTTAGTAAAGATTGTTTCAGGATTATGCTAATCAAAGATGTGGGTTTTCAACTAAATTGCAATTAGGCCTTTTTTTTTAAGTAAAAGATTGTTAGAGAAACATTTATTCTTGTATTTTTCATAAAAAGTGACAAATAGATAACGAAAAAAGGTTTAGTGACTAAATGTGAACAAAATCGAAAGTTCGTTTCCCACTAAAAAGTTCAATGGTTTAATGTGAACAAACTTCCTATTGTATTATGTTTTAGCAAATTATTTATTTTTGTTTAATTGTAGCAACATTTGTTGATGAAGAAATCTATAAAATAAAAAAACAAAATGTAACATCCGGATTTCTATGTATCATAATTTAAGTATTGTTCTTTTGAGTTAAGAAGAGAGACACGATGAGTTGACGTCTCAACTCGTCGAGTAAGGTCGCTACTGATGACTCGGATTAATGAATGGACTCGACGAGTCGGTGAGGCGACTCGAGGAGTCCGTTGTTGACAAAAACCCTAAATCTTTGGGCCCGAGACATATTTAAAAGCACTTATGGCCTTCAATTGCGACTACCTTTCCCATAAGTGAAAACCCTAGCGAGCTTGAGTGTGTAGAGTGAGAGGAAGAGCTATCTTGAGCTTTTGGTGTGATTTTGCAAGAAAGGAGAAGAGTTCCAGCAAGAGGGACCAAGGAAGGTTATTGTTCTGAGTTATTCAAGCAAGGAGCTTCATTCTGAGGTACAAAATTGAACC